TGGGTCAGAATGGATTCAACAGCACTTAACAACAATGCCATTGATTACCTTTGTAAACGTAGATCTGTTTTCTCATCGGTAATGGCAAGTAAAGCCATTTGTTGTGAGGCTTAAATGAGACAGTGAAAATGAAGCCTTAACCTTGTGCCTGGCATATAACTCACACTCAATAAATGGTTGCATTACTGTTTTCTCACTTTAGCAGGGCAATGTTACACCAGTGTCCTACGTGTTTCCTGAATCCTTGAGAAACATTTAAAGGCTCTTTCACATTCCTGGGCTTTGAATTGAGAGTGCATGAGACGTGTAGACCAGAAAAAACTACAGAATACAGTTTGAAAAACTACCATTAATATCCTGGGAGGTAGGCACTTATTCACCTAAATAGTAGGATAAGCATTGGACTGCAAGGTTGGCTTGAACCCTCAGGGTGGCCATCCAAACACCATTCACTCCTTGGAAACCCTATGAATGGGAACTAACTCAATGGCACTTAAGAACAACAATGTATATTATTACATCTTTAATTGGAGTCCTGGTATGATACAGTGGGACAATGTACTGGACTGCAAGATGTGAGGTTCAAACTCACTACCTGCTCCTCAAAAACCCTATACAGGGTTGCTATGAGTCAGAACTGACTCAACACCACTTAACAAAAACAATTAACTTCCTTTAGGAACCATTTCATACACTGTTTTATTAATGTTTAAAAACTGCCTCCACCCTGCATAACATTCTCATTCCACTTAAAAAGCAGTATTTGGTGGTGGTTATGTGTCATGGAGTTGGTTTTGATCCATAGTGACCCTATCTATATAGGGTTTCCTAGGAGTGGCTGGTGAGCTTGAACCACCAACCTTGCGAATCAAACTGACTTTCAGTCCAGCACATTAACCCACAGCGCCACATTGGGACTCCTTACTAACCACTTCGTTGTTAAGTGTCGTTGAGTCAGTTCCAACCCATAGCAACCCTGTATAGGGTTTCCGAGGAGCAGTGGTGAGCTTGAACCACCAACCCTCTGGTTCAAATCGACCTTGCAGTCCAGTGCATTAACCCACAGTGCCACACCAAGACTCCACACAAGTACAAATTCCAAGAAGGTTTGTTTTGTTTTTAAACCAGCAAATAGACCAGTGTGGAAGAAAGGAAGTGAGTCAATGAGAGTAAATCAGGAACCTGATCCAGATTGGAGGAAGGAAGGCTTGCCTGAGGAAGTGACACTTGAACTCAAAAGTAGGTAAATGGGCTAGAGGTGGTGGTGATAAGCATTTTAGTAGAGAAGAAAAATTGAAGACTTAAAATACTTAATGATGAAGATCAAAGACCACAGCCTGAGATATGGATTCCATCTCAGTGTAAAGAAAACAAAAATGGTCACCACAGGACCAATAAACATTCTTACCAATTAAGAAAAGACTGTCAAAGACTTCATTTTGCTTGGATCAATCATCAACACTCATGGAAGCATCAGTCAAGAAATCAAATGACATATACTGCATTAGGCAAATCTGCACAAGACATTTTTAAAGTGTTGACTAGCAAAGATGTGAACTTGAGGACTAAGGTGCGCCTGACCCAAGCCATGGTATTTTCAATAACTTCATATGCATATAAAAGTTGGACAGGGAATAAGGAAGACCCATAGAATAATTGATGTATTTGAGTTACGGTGTTGAAGGAGAATATTGAAAGTACCATGGACTACCAAAAGAACAAATAGATCTATGTTGGAAGAAGTACATCCAGAGTGTTCCTTAGAGGCCAAGATGGCCAGACTTCATCTCTGATACTTTGGACATATTATTAGTAGAGACCACTCACTGGAGAAGGATACCATGTTTGGTAAAGTGGAGGGTTGGAGAAAGAGGAAGAACCCCAATAAGATGGATTCCCACAGTGGCAGCATCAGTGGGCTCAAATGTAGCATTGACTGTGAGGTTGGCCCCAGGACAGGGCAGTGTTTCGTTCTGCTGTGCATAAGGTCGCTATGAGTTGGTACTGACTCGATGGCACACAACAATCTAAGAATGTGCAAAAGACACCAAAATGTAGCAAAATGTAGCCTTCACGAACTAATCTGGAATCTTCCAATGAGGGCAACTAGAATGAAGATGATAGCAATTTATGTTTAAATTTTGTGTCATTTAGATTTTATTTTTTTTTTACATGAGTGGGAGTAGCAGGGAGACATCTAAACCAAATTTGCAATGCTTGGGACTAATAAAGGCCATCAACTTTATGGGATATTCCAGTTAAATCTGGTTTCTTAATTTTCACCTATGAACCTAGTCCAAAGGTTGTAGTTAATCATAGGTGTCCCAAGTAGATAGTGACAAATTTAGACCTAAAATTCAGAACTGATCCAGAGCCCTTTTCCCTTTAATCAGTCAGCCCCACAAAATTTGTGCTACTTTATAGAATGAAGTAACTTCTAGAAAAATAAACCCAAGAGTAGTAGAGGATCTAGTTAGGAAGCTATAAGAACTGATGCCCTATTGTTGCCAAACCAAAATGAGGGTTTGCCATCTGTCACTGTAGTCGATCACAGAATGGGGAAAGAACCAATCCAAGCTTTATTAACAGAAAGCCAGCAGTCTGGGAGGATGACCCCTCAAGACTGTCCTCCCAATTTACAAAAACAAGCACAATATGTAGAGCAGTGTACATCAGCTAAGCATTTGATCTGTTTTTCTTTATATTCTAGAGTGAGGTGAGTGATAACAGAATGGTTTTTTTCTTGAAAACACATTTCATTCCCAGGTTCTTTATGACCCATGACTCAGGCAATTATCTCCAATGGCCTTCAGCTTAATCTAAAGGCTTATGCACATCTTGGTTTGTTTCCAGAGGCCATAAAACTGAAGCTCAAGACAGTTTTATGAGGGGAGAGAGTAGAGTTTTTAGGTTATTTCCTGCAAGGCAGAAACCAGAATTCTTAAAGGCATGATTCCATGCTTTCATTACCCTACTCTAATTTTTTTTTTTCTTAAATGTTTTATTGTGAGTTATGTGATAGTTTACATGGAAGAACGTTAATTTTACATTTATTCTATCATACAACGTCTCATTGCCATGCTTACAATCCCCTCCATGCATCATCAACCAACCTGCAATCCTACCCCCTCTCCCCC